CGGGGCGGGGGGGGGGCTCGGTAGGGTCGGGGCCTGCCCCGGTAGCCGCCCGCGGAGCGCCCCGGTTCGGCCGCGCCGCATTCGGGTGTTTCTGCCCCGGTTTAAAGGCAACCGGAGCCCCCGTCGCCGCCCCCGCCGCGGCGGCGGAGGGTCCCGGTGTCGGGGAATGAATGGGGCCGAGGCGGAGCGGCCCCGCCAAGGCCCGGCCCTCGGCGGGCAGGGCCCGGCCCGGTGCCGGTGCCGCCCGGGATGGGGCCGTTGAGCGTTGCCGCGCGGTTTGAACGGTCCTGGCGCCCTCCTCAACCGCGAGGAGTCCCCGGTAAGTAGGAGATCCCGGGGTGCGGGCGCGGTGCTCGTCTCCCGCCTCCCCGTTCTCAAACCCAGGAGCCGCCTCTGGAGCGTGTTGGGGCCGCAGGAACCCCCCGGCCCCCTCCCGGTGCCGCCGTCCCGGGCGCTACGGGGCCGGTAGCGTCCCACCGGGCAGCCCCGGCACCGGCCCTGCCCGCGGTGACCCCGGTGGAGCGGGGAGAGCTGCCGGGGTTTCCCCTCCGGAGCCCAAACCCGCGCCCCGAGGTGCCTCCGCGCCGGGAGCCCTAATTAATTAGCTGCTTTCATTGTAATTCTATTGAATTCCGTGACCCAAAACCGGTGGGTGCCGTTACCGGCAGAGCTCAGCTCCGGTGTTCTCTCCCGGTGGAGCTGAACTTGGCAGAATGATGCTTTTTGGGAGGGAAATGTGGCTCTTACAGAGCCAGTTACCCGCCGACGGGCTGGATTTCCCCAGGTTTGGCTGAAACCAGAGGCTGGTGGCACCTCTCGGAGGGATTTTTTTGGCCAGAACTGATGTGCCCTGGGGGGGGGGACGCGTTGGCTGCTCCCCCCCCTCCCCATCCCCACAAGGGCCTTTGCTTTGGGGTGGTTCTTCTGGATCTCGTGGGGCTGCTTTGCCTTAACGTGACTGAAAACAAGAAGGATGCACTAAAGTTGGGAGTTTTCCGTTGAATGCCTGTGGAATCCATCATGGTGAAACAGCAGTGCTACTACATCCTGCCTACAATTGTCTATAGTCTGAAAGTAGTTTCTTTTTTAATTTTTAAAAGAAAAAAAAAAGGCGCCTTTCCAGGGTGTATAAATGAAAGTAAAACTCGTTACGTAAAACAGGTTTCTCGGTGCTGGCTGGGGGTGAATATCTCGTTCAGCAGATGATTTCTGCAGTGTCCTCAAACTGTAGGAATTGTCATAGAATCATAGAATTGCCCAGGCCTCCAAAGGGACCTCCAAAGGGCATCTCGTCCCACCCCCCTGCAGTCAGCAGGGACACCCCCAACTAGACCAGGTTGCCCCATCGAGCCTCCCCTTGAATATCTCCAGGGAAGGGGCCTCAACCACCTCCCTGGGCAACCTGTCCCAGTGCTCCACCACCTCCCAGTGAAGAACCCTCTCCTCATCTCCAGTCTAAAGCTGTTCCCCTCCAGCTTGAAGCCATTGCCCCTCGTCCTGTCACTGCAGCCCTTTCTAAACAGGCTCTCCCCAGCCTTCCTGTAGCCCCCCCTCAGGTACTGGAAGGCTGCTCTTAGGTCTCCCCGGAGCATCCTCTTCTCCAGGCTGAACAACCCCAGCTCCCTCAGCCTGTCCTCGGAGCAGAGGTGCTCCATCATCCTCGTGGCCCTCCTCTGGACCCTCTCCATCAGGTCCATGTCCTTCTTCTATTGAGGGCTCCAGCCCTGCACACAAGACTCCAGGTGAGGTCTCACCAGAGCAGAGTCAAGTGGCAGAATCCCCTCTCTGGACCTGCTGGCAACGCAGCTTTTGATGCAGCCCAGGATGGGATTGGCCTTCTGGGCTGTGAGTGCCCACTGCCTGCTCCTGTCCAGCTTCTCCTCCACCAGCACCCCCAAGTCCCTTTCCTCAGGGCTGCTTTCCAATCCCTCACCCCCCAGTTTGTATTGGTGGTGAGGATTGTTCCGGCCCAGGTGCAGAACCTTGCATTTGCTCTTGTTGAACCTCATGAGGTTCACCTGGGCCCACCTCTCCAGCCTGTCAGGATACTTCCCAGGAAACAAAGCCGGGTGGACGAGGAAGCACGAGGATGGGTTTGGGATCACACTGAAGCCACCAACGGTCACACCTGAGACTCAGCTGGAGATCGGCGCGTCCGGAGCTGCTCCTGTGACAAAAGCTGGAGACGGAGGTGTCCACAGTGTGGCTGGGGCCCCCATGTGAGCCCCCCGTGGGTCGGACGGAGCCGTGAGGCCTCTGGGGTGAAGCTGAGCCTGGACGTGCTGCTGTGAAGCTTCTGGAACCTGTTCTACAATCCTGCTCTGGGGATTGTCTTCTGAAGGTGGTGGCTGGAAGACGTGGTCGGATGCAGATGTGCGGTGGCCGTGGCTGTTTAGGAAGTCACCGAAAGGCGTGGGTGGCAGCAAAGCTTAGATTTGAGAGAAGAAATCCTTCCTGGGGCTGTTCCCCACTCGACGTCTGCCATGATTTATTGCCGTGGCACATTTAACTTCTCTCTTCCAAAGAAATCTCAATCCCATCGGGATGATACGTAACCGAAGCGCGTTCCCGGGGCTGGGACTCTTGGCACGAGGCCGAGGTCCCGGGGGATGAGTTTGGTGGAGCAAAAAAGAGCAAATTTTGGGCTCTGGGTCAACTCAAGGAGTCCCAGCAGCGTTTCTCGGCGCCTGTAGGAAAAGAGAAGACTTTTTGTGGGAATAGGGGAGCTGTTGCTCTGAAGGGCTTGGAGCACGTGTGCGTTTCACCGTTGGTCTCCTTGGAGTCGGGGTGTGGGCAGGGATCACAAACCAAATCTGGGACTTCCATCCCGTCCCTCGCTCGGGTTCGCGGTCCCGGCGCGTCCTGCGCTACTGGTTTGAAGGGTAGGTCCTGACTCAAGCAGCTGAAGGAAGGTGGTTTTTTTTTTTTTTCCCATCCTCCCTTTGGGAGGAGGAGGAGAGATTTGAAAACCAGATAAGAAGAATGAGAGGCTTTAATTAGAGTAGGCACGGTCAGGGTGGTGAGGACTGAATATCCGGGGAGGCAGCATACATTCAACGTTCAAACATAATTCTTGTTTCTAGTGCATTTTTCTTTGATCTCCTTCCCTCCTCTCGGTAGCCCACGGGCACACGAGGCTCCCTCAGCTCTAGGGATGTTTGGAAGTGCTGGGAACGGGCCGTTTTGGTGCCTTAAACCCCCTGATTTTGGCAAAGATGCCAAGGTCACGGCCAAGCCAACGCTTCAAGGCTGAGGAGGAGCGTGAGCAGCTCCCTGGGGAGGCTGGAGATATCTCCATTGACATTGAAAAAACGTTTGTGAAGTGTTAGGGCCATCGTGGTGAGCGGGGACACTGGGATTTCTGTTCTGGTAACGCCAGTTTGAGCCATGTACCCGGTTCCACGCCGTGGGATTTCTTCCTTCCAGCAGTGTGAGAAATGGCTCTGCGCAGCACCAAAGGCAGAGGGAACAGAGCGGGGTGTTTTGCAGCTTCTTTTTTCACCTCAGAGTCTTTCAGTCCCTATTAGAGGATGGTACTTGTGTCCAATAAGGAATTAAAAATACCATAGTAAGAAAAATTGCTACTCTGGGATCATTTTCTGTACCTGAATAAGTAGGTGCTGCTGCTTTTTCTGCTGTTGTGGCCTTTCCTGGAGCTGGCACCAGAGTCTGTGCACCCAAACTGCTGAGGAGGGACTGGGTTTGACCCCCCCCAGGCACAGGGAGCTGTGGGGCAGGAGGGGGGCCATGGGGCAGGGAGAGGGGTTTCTCCGGAGAGCAATGCAGCACTTGGGGAGTAATAATGTCTCACAGTTGGGAGATCAAGAGTTGAACTGGTTGATGATCGGGTGAGTCAAAATCTGTTCTGAAAGTTTAGCAATGATCACCTTAATGAAGGTTCTGAGCAGTTAATTACTCCTTGGTCAGGTGACTGCGCTGTGATGCTCTGAGGGCAGATGTCCCCTCCTCGGGGGCTGCAGTGGAAGCCCCTCTGTCACCCCCAGGTGGGAAACTTGGCTTCCTTTGTGTCCCCATGTGCTTTAGCTTCCCAACTTTGTGTCCCCATGTGCTTTATGGCACCCGTAGGTGCCATAAATACCAGGGCAAGTGGCCCTTCAGCCCAGAGCACTTCAGCCTGACTCACTGGTGGGTCTTTGAGGTCTTCTCTGCTGGGGCATGAGCCAGGAAATAAATCCCAGCTTTGATCTTGCCCCTCTGGAAACAGCCCAAGCGAGGAGCGTCCGCGTCTCCTGTGCCTTGGCAACAGCGGGGTTTGAGTGGCTGTTTGCCTCCTCCTGGGGCCCAGAGGAGCGGTTTGGGGCTTGGCTGGAGCTGCCAGAAGAGTAGCAGAGCCCACAGAGTGGCCCCACGTGGAACTGTGAACCCCCACCAGTCCCTGGACACTGGTTGTGGTGGTTGTGGAAAGCCAGAAGGATCCCCAAGAGCAGGGGAGTTGGAGTCTGTGGATGTAGGAGGCTGTAGGACCGTGTCAGAACAGTGATTCTTTGCTCCCACAGTGGTACTGACTTCAGCTGGGGCTTGCACACAGCAGAAGTGTCAAATAATCCATATTTTTATTAGTATCAATGGCCCAAAAGTGAGCTTTTTTTGGTGGTTGCGCTCTGGGGTTTTGGCTCTTTGGGTGACAAAAAGCATAAGGAAGTCTGTTGTTGGAGGTGACTGAAACTTTGCCATTGCCTGTAGTGGCTCGTCTTGAGAAGGTTGTCATAATTTTGGGTTGTTGTAGGGTTTATTTCAGTCTCAGGGTTTGATCACTTTGGGGAACAGCAGCACCAGCTTTTTGGGGGCGTCGCACATGGAATGTCTTGTATCACAGCTTGTTTAAGGCTGGAAAAACATCTTTTAAAGGTTATTATTAAAAGACAGTAGTGCAGCTTTTAAGAACAGTAAGAAGTCTTAATTAAACTTCTCTAGATGCAATAAAAAAACTAAAAATCAAAGTTGTGTATCGGGAGAAAACGAGGAAAGGCACCGTCGGGTTTCCTGGCGGCACCAAAAAGTGAGTTTTAAAACTCTTTAGTTTTGCTGAAAGATGCAAAACTTGACTTGAACTTGTCTGCAATGGTCTCTCGGCAGGCAGCCTGCTTCTGCGAAGTGGTACGACCGAAGGGACTACGTCTTTATTGAGTTTTGCGTGGAAGACAGTAAAGATGTTAATGTAAATTTTGAAAAATCCAAACTTACGTTCAGGTGAGCACCTGAAGGCTCGGGGAGGGGGTGGGATTCACCTCTGTGAATGAAGCATATTTTTTTCTTTAAGACATTTCCTGCTAAACACAAGTTTGTTGTTTTTTTTTCTCTCTCTCAACAGTTGTCTTGGAGGAAGTGATAACTTTAAACATTTAAACGAAATTGACCTTTTTAATAATATTGATCCAAATGTAAGTATCCTCTTGACTCTCCCCTTGCTATGTTCTTGGTGCTGTACCCTGAAAAACACCATCCCTTCTGCCAGAATTGAAGGCAAATTGGTCCTTAGGCCCTAAGAGTGTGCTTAAACCCGTGTCTCTGGATGGTATTTTTCAGGACAGAGAATGAGTTGATGGCTTAAATCTTAATGTGAGCAGTTCCTGGTGCAGGTTTGTGATGGTTGTGCTTAACAGATACTTGCTCTTTTTCAGGAATCAAAGCATAAAAGAACAGACAGATCTATCTTGTGTTGTTTACGAAAAGGAGAATCTGGTCAGGCATGGCCAAGGTTAACAAAAGAGAGGGCAAAGGTGGGTTTGGGCTCCTCAGTGGCCGGGGCCTGTTGCCTCTCCTGGTTTTTAAATCTTTTTTTAATATTTGGGTCATATTTAAATGATGTAGCAGTTAATGGGTCGCTTGCTGTGCCTTCTGATCTGGCAGTTCTTATTAACCTTCCTTTTCTAACAGCAGCAGCTCGTTACTTGCTTGTCCTTAAATAACTTCTCGTGTTGATCTGCAGCTCAACTGGCTCAGCGTGGACTTCAACAACTGGAAAGACTGGGAAGATGATTCAGATGAAGACATGTCCAATTTTGATCGCTTTTCCGAGGTATGGGAGGTTTGGGCTTCACCCTGTGGGGGGGGCAGGCAGGGGCTGGCAGCTGAGGAAGAGTCATCTTCCTTGGCCTTCCTCCTCCTCCTGGGTGCAGGCTCTGGCTCCAAGCTGTGGCCATCAGCAGGATGGGGGGTTTGTGTTTCCTGGCAGAGAGAAAATGAACTTATCCCATTGTAGATGCCAGCTTGGTGCCAGGCAATTAATTTACATGTTTTTGCATGTTGCCCTTGTAATTTCTGCAATTCCCTGACAATGGGCAGCTGTTGGTTAGAGTTTTGAGCTGTTTTGAGCTATTTTTGGTGGTGGGGTGCTGTCCTCACTCACATGGAGGGTGTTTTTTGGCTTCCCCCTGGTGATGGTGCCTTTCTCTCCCCGAGCAGATGATGAACAACATGGGGGGAGACGACGACGTAGACTTGCCAGAAGTAGATGGGGCAGATGATGTAAGTACTGGGGGTTGGCAGTAAATCCCTGTCAAACTCACAGTCCCTCTTCGGAGCTGGGTGAAAGCTTAAATAGCACCAGATCTCATCTGGACAAATGATGTCACCTGGCAAAGTCACCATCCCCCCAGCTGTGGTGTCACTGCTTGTGGTGTCACCTCCGTGGTGGTGGCTGTGGGGCCAAACTGAGCCCATCCCCTGGAGCCTGATGTTCCCCAACACTGGGGTTGTGCTGCCACCAGGGTTTGGGAACAGCAGCTCTTTTGCTGGTGTAAAGGGTGGGGGGAAGAGCCTTTCAAGCCCAGTCTGCTTCAGTTAATGTTTCTCCTTCTTTTTAGGACTCACCAGACAGTGATGATGAAAGTAAGTGGGTGTTCTCCTGCTCCTCACTGAGCCCCAGCAGATGTTCCCTCCTGTCAGTCTCCCTAAATCCCGGCTCCGAGCCAATGCTGGTGCCCAGCCCAAGCCGTGTGAGACCATATAATCTAGTGAAAGCCTTTACACACCAGCATGAAATACCAGTTTGACCTTCCTGGCCAGCTTGTAGTCCTGGGTTTTGGCTTTAAGAGCAGCAGGAGCGTTGGAGTCTGCGGCGCTGGGTCACTGCAGGGCTTCAGAGGGAGAAGAGGGGCTGGGTCAGGGCTAGAACTGCCCCCTGCTCTTCTTAGAGAGTCATAGAATTGCCCAGGCCTCCAAAGGGACCTCCAAAGGTCATCTAGTCCCACCCCCCCGCAGTCAGCAGGGACACCCCCAACTAGACCAGGTTGCCCCATCGAGCCTCCCCTTGAATATCTCCAGGGAAGGGGCCTCAACCACCTCCCTGGGCAACCTGTCCCAGTGCTCCACCACCCTCCCAGTGAAGAACCCTCTCCTCATCTCCAGTCTCAAGCTGTTCCCCTCCAGCTTGAAGCCATTGCCCCTCGTCCTGTCACTGCAGCCCTTTCTAAACAGGCTCTCCCCAGCCTTCCTGTAGCCCCCCCTCAGGTACTGGAAGGCTGCTCTTAGGTCTCCCCGGAGCCTCCTCTTCTCCAGGCTGAACAACCCCAGCTCCCTCAGCCTGTCCTCGCAGCAGAGGTGCTCCATCCCCCTCATCATCCTCGTGGCCCTCCTCTGGACCCTCTCCATCAGGTCCATGTCCTTCTTCTATTGAGGGCTCCAGCCCTGCACACAAGACTCCAGGTGAGGTCTCACCAGAGCAGAGTCAAGTGGCAGAATCCCCTCTCTGGACCTGCTGGCAACGCAGCTTTTGATGCAGCCCAGGATGGGATTGACCTTCTGGGCTGTGAGTGCCCACTGCCTGCTCATGTCCAGCTTCTCCTCCACCAGCACCCCCAAGTCCCTTTCCTCAGGGCTGCTTTCCAATCCCTCACCCCCCAGTTTGTATTGGTGGCGAGGATTGTTCCGGCCCAGGTGCAGAACCTTGCATTTGCTCTTGTTGAACCTCATGAGGTTCACCTGGGCCCACCTCTCCAGCCTGGCCAGGTCCTTTTGGATGACATCCCCTCCCTCTGGTGTATGGACACCACCACACAGCTTGGTGTCATCCCCAAACTTGCTGATGGTGCCTTTAATCTCCCTGTCTATATCATTGATAAAAACGTTAAACAGTATTGTCCCTTGAGGGACACCACTTGGGACTGGTTTCCATCTGGACTTTGAGCCATTGAGCACCAATGGTCTTGGTCAAGGGCTGGATCTTGCTCCCCATCCCCTGTGACGTAGTGGGGCTCCCTGTAGCTGTTTTTAAAAAGCTAAAGCAACAAAACCCTTCCCCACTAACGTTCTTCTCTTTCTCTCTAGAAATGCCGGATCTGGAGTAAGGAAAAGCGTCGTCTTCAGGGTTTGGGGAAAGAACTTCATCACAACATTTCATAATTGAGATTAAGAATTCCTGAGTTTGATAGCCCTAAAGGGAGATCCTGCATCCTTTAACCCCATTTTTTTCAGTCCATTTTCAAATGGCTTCACTGATGGGAGGTGTTTGTACCGTTGCACGGAGCGGTCCTAAGCCACGAGAGGCAATAACGTTCTGCATGAACCCGTTTTCCAGACTTCCAAAAAAAAAAACAAACAAAACCACAAAAAACTAAACAAAACCACAAAACCAAACCCAATTGAGGTGTAGGCAATCGTTAGAGAAGAGTCGCAATAAAGTTTACAGAGCCTCCTTGCCTCGTAGAGGGTGTAATTACAACGGGAGAATCCTCAATTTACACCGAGTTGGGGAAAACTGAGCGTTTTCCCTTCTCCTGCCCCAAAATCTTATACCGGGAACAAAACCACGGCCGTTTGTCATTGGCTCATGCAGCTCCCCCCCGCCCAGAACCTCCGTGGTGTCTGCAGCTCTGGTTCCACTCGAGTTTGTATCGAAAAGGAAACCGGTTTCTCCCCCGTTTTGGTGTCGGTGTGGCCCCCGGTGCCGGTGACCGGAGCCCCTCCCCTCCCGTTAGACCCTCCCGTTTTCCCCGTTGTTGCTTGTCGATCTGTACGTTTAGACCAAAATCGTATTTGCACTGTGTGGGTGTGGCAGCGACCGGCCGGTGGTGGTGGCGGCGGCGGCTTCGAAACGGGCTGAAAAACCTCGATTTATGTTCAGAGCAGCGGGGATTTTTTTAATGTCTACATTCTTTCTAATAAACTGTTGAAGACTCCCTGGCTCTCCTTCCGCCTGGGCCCTGTCCCTTCACCTGCCTGCGCC